TTTTTTTTTTTTTTTACAAAAATCAGTTTCTATTAATTTATTGGTTTTTGTAAAATAATTTCATTTTTAAGGAATTAATTTTGAATATTTACCAGTGAGCTAAAATTTAATATATATAAAATGTATTAATAAATGCCTAGTTTTTGTAAACTTTTGTTAATTTCTGATGGTGCTAGTGAACAAAAATAGGTTAGTAAAACAATTAGCAATTAAAAAATTATATTATTATTAATTAAAATTATAAAATACAGTTTATATTTATAAACCAAGGTATGTAAAAAAAAAATATTTACCTATTCCATTAAAATATGACGTGTTATAATAATTATATAAAAATATTACATACGTATGTAATGATGTTTAATTGAAATTTTATTGAAATATATATATGCTTATGTTATATTGATTTAAAATACATATATTTTGTATTTATTATCAGTACTTTGTTTTTCAACTTCGATTATCGATAAATTTTTTGATATTTTTTGAATGATTAGAAAAAAAATGTTTATGTCGTACATTTAATGATATTGAATAATAATTAATGAAAATAATTTTTACATAACAACACGATAATTATTTTGAATAATTAATCACAATTTTCTTTAATTTTTCTTTCAAATGTTTAAATTGTTATTTATTTAATTACAAATATTATTGTATTTTTTAATTTCTTTTTAATAATTTTATAATATAATAATAATGTAATATTTAGAAATAGATATATAGATAAAATAGTTATATGTAGATAAGTTATGATATATTAAAATACCATTAAATATTTTATTATCTCATTAATTATTATGATTTAAATGATCTATTAGATCGATATAATCATTAATAATACTGATTGATTGATAAATAGAGTATCGATCAATGAATACAAATTCATAAATTAATAAAATAAATTTTTAATAAGATTAAATTTAAAAAAAAAAATTTAATTATTTTGATATGAATGTAATAATACATAGTAGCATAAAAATAGAAAATATTTTCATAAACTTTATAATGCACATTCATTATTGAAGAATTTGCTATTATATATGTTTGTATCAAAAAATCTTTTTTTTTGTTTCTTATAATTTTTATAAAAGTATTTTTGTCATCTTGATTTTTATTAAAATTAATTTTATTTAAAATTATTTTAAAATAGTTATTTAAATAGTTTTAAAATCGTATTTCGTATTTGAAAATAAAAAATATTAAATTTTTTTTAAAGTTAGGTAAAATATTTACTTTATACTAAAAAATATTTCTTCCATTTCTTTATCTGATTCATTAATTCATTAAAAAATATTTAGATCAAATTCATTTAAATAAAAATCCAATTAAAGAATTATCTGTATACGCAATCATGTGATTTTGATTCATTTAGTGTGAATTCAGTTTATGTATTATAAATAACTTTTGGTTGATTGATTATCTCATTCAAATGTAGAAATCTAAAAAAAAATTTATAATATTAGCTCAATGAGCAAGAAAAATAGAATAAAAACATGAATATACATTTTTGATATTTCGATAATGATTGGAAATCATATTGTAAAAATGAAATCATAATAAAAATTTTTCAATGAATTATAGTTATTAATACAACTTTATTACTTGATCATACTTAATAATTATTTATTAATTTAAAAGATAAGAAAATTTTATAAATGAAAAACGATAGAAATCGTTCTGTTCAAAGAGCGTAGAAATGAAAATATATCTTAACATATCTTACAACAATCAACTCATTAAATAAGAATTTTTTTTTTTCTTATATTTTTATGTTTTCTTTTCTCTTATGTAAGATTCTTTGTTAGTTTTTCATGAAACTTTAAGCAACTTCGTTGCAGAAATTGTAAAACCCTTGATTTCTTTGTCGAGAATGAAATTTCTAGTTAATATATTTCATCATAGAAATGAAGAACTAAAATCATTATGATTTCATAATCTTCTATTGACTCATAGTTTTATTTGAATTTCTCTTAATAACAAAAAATTATTTTTATTATAAAAATTCTAAATTTTCCTTTAATTTTCTCTTTTTTGTGAAAAAAAAATTAAAATAAACAACTCTTAATTATAAACTATAAATGATGAAAAATATTAAAAAAATATAAAAAAAAATTTTTAATGTATTATATATAGCTAGAAATCAGTAATATATTGTAATAAAAAATTTTGTTTTTTAAATAAAACTGAAGTATTTAATTATATTTAAGCATTTTGAAGTTGATAATTATCGAATTAAATTATAATATTTTTCGAATATTTTTTTAGCATCAGATAATTTTCTATGTTTAAACAAATTTCAGATCAAAATATATTGTATTATAAAATTCTATTTCTTTGATTAATATATAGCAATGAATAACTAATGCATTAGTATTAAGTAAATATTAAATAAAATGTTAAAAAAATTATATAAATTATGTATAATTAATAATGAAATTTGCAATTGAAATTAAAGTTTAAAAATATTTTATATTTTTAATAAAAAAATTAATTTTTATTTATTTTATTTATAATTATCAAACAAATTTTTAAAAATAGAAAGAAAAAGATATATAAGTTAAAAAAAATATATTCATAAAATATTTATTAAATTTTATCAATATTTTATATTTTATTATTTTATTATATTTATTAAATTACTACATAAGAATGTTAATTTATATAATTTTAAAAAAATTATAATAATAATAATATCATACCTTTAGAACAAACAAAAATGATTCAATGAAAAATCACTTAACTCTTGGTATAATTTTAATCAGTGAATCGTAATTGACAACAAACAACTAATCGAATACAATAATATGTAACATGTACAAACATTTATTAAATTACTACATAAGAATGTTAATTTATATAATTTTAAAAAAAAATTAAAATTAAATAATAATAATATCATATCTCTAGAACAAGCAAAAATGATTCAACGAAAGATTAACTCTTAGTATACAATTTTAATCAGTGAATTGTAATTGACAACATATAACTAATCGAGTATAATAATACGGAACATTTACAAACATTAACAATAACTCTTTGTTTCAGATAATTCCTAGAAAATTTCAAGGTGTTTTTCAAGGTAACTAAGTTTCCAAATACTAGTTGTAAAAGTATCGAAAAGAAACGAAAAATCAAAGCAACTAACAGTCATCACACAGGACATCGAACTCATTGGTTCATGATCATAACGAATCGTGCCGAAGAATGACGAAGACAAGTTCGGGCTTTATTCCGGTCATTCGACCGTTTTCATTGGATCGAGCGTTAATACGTAAAACCGCTGCTCTCGCACGCATTTACCACACATCGCTCGACTCAGATGATAAAAGTTCGTTATTAATGAGATTGATCAGTTGTTGTTTGGAACGCACGCGAACAAGTGTGCAGAGCACCCTGGCTTTTCGTCGATTATCATTACGAAGATATTGTTGCAAGAACGAGATTGAAGACGATACAATGACTGAAATAAAACGAAATCCTGCTGCTGACCAGTTAATCGACTATAAGAAAAATTTAAAGGTAAATACAAATTCTTCTATAAAAATTAAATAAAAAAATTGATTTTATAAAAATTAAGATATTTCAATAAGTGAAAAACTAGAATATTTGAATATTATTATAAAAATTGGTATTATATGATCAATTTTTAAATTTTGAAGATTTTTTTTTTGAATTGAATTGAAAATATATTATTAAATTTGAAATATATATCACAAGAATTTTGAAATAATTCAATTCTTTGCGCGCGTTTATAGAATATATCATCGAATGATCATTGTACTTACTCACATTGTCAAAAATTGTATATATATATATATATAATTTTTTCGAAAAATTTAGTAGTTACATATTTGGATATAGTAAAATTAAAAGCCTTACTTTTCATTTTCATTTAATTTTAATAATAAAATCCTAGAAGATCAATTAAAAAAACTGAATATTTGGATGCATATTTCATTTTAATATTAAATTATTAATATTATAAATATTATAAATATTTTTGTTTTATAAATATCTATGGATGAAAAGATTAAAAGTAAAAAAAATTTTAAAAATATTAAGAAGAAATTATTTTTTATTTGATCAAATATTTATAATGTTATAAAAATATAATTTATTATGTTAATATTATTTGTGTAGAAATTCGCATTAACGAAGATAATTTATATGATTTTATGATGAAGATAATAAATGATTTTTTATTCATCTAATAAATTTCTAATTTATATTACA